CACAATTAAATCTTCTTTTTTGGGAAAATCGTCTGTTACAATGATAAAGTCTTTGTTTTCAGGGCATTTCGCTACTTGATCCAAATATCCAAGCCAATAAATTATTATTCCGTTGCCAAATCTGAAAATAAATCACATTTTTGAATAAAATTGTCAGCGAGTTTCGTTTCCCATTTATTCAAGCAGAGTCAAGCATGTTTCGATAGAAATATCAAGAAAAAGTACCTATTTCCGTAGCTAGACAATTGATCGTTCACATATTGCCGATGTGAAGTCATATCGCCGAATGATGCCTTGCTCTCGATCCAATTGATTATCTTTCCTTTGTACATACAAGGTACGGCCAATTTTAAATCCGGTGTCTTGTCATATCCATATCGTCTCAAATGCACTTCGTCATGAAACTCCAAGCCCGCATCTGAGGCCATTTTTTTCAATCGCACTTCATAATCTTCACCAATGGTTTGTCGTTTTAAATCAGTCAATGGACCATCAGACTTGTCATTGTGGAGACAATTCAGAACATTCAACGCCAACAGAGGGTCAGGAATTAAGTATGGATGTTTCATCATTTCATTGGTTACTGATTTCGGTTTTCCCTCAAATCCCATGCTCAGCAAAATGCGGCACAGAGAAACCGGTGAAAAGTTTTCACGTGTGGCAATTTGCAGTAAAATAAATGGGTCGCCCCTTGCTCCAGATTGTTGTTTGTACCTTAAATGTAAAGAACCCAGTGAATATTGAATTCAATCGAATAAATTTGAAAATACAAGAAGCTTACTCTCTTAACAAGTCTGCTCCAGATCGTGCAATCCTATGATGCCATTGTTTTATGTGTTTTTGCCATTCCTTTGATAAAATCGCTGATAAAACTTGTGGATCGATATGGCTGAAAAATTTCCGCAACTCTTGTTCACAATGAATGGTAAGCCCCCTGAATTTTGTGCAGAATTCACAAATTTGTTCATACGTTTCTGTACTAATCACAACCATTTTCGGACGATAACTTCTTTCACTTTTGAATCCATCAGATATTTGCAACAGAATAAGTGTTTCGATTCAATACTGTTTACAATTATTGCGAGTATCTGACATTTCTCTAATACGGCTTACCGGTTGAGCTGTCAAAATTTGAATGAATGAACCGGATAGTTTACTTTCAGTCCTGCTAACTCAAATACTTGAGTTTTTATCAATGACATATCACTAGAATTTAGAGAGAAAAAAAAATTTCTTCAGTTTCAATGGTAAATCTGAATAAAATCAAAAATGTGGGACTTTCACATCGAAATTCTTTAAAACACAAACAAATATGATTATTCCATGCGTTCATTTCTCGTTTGAGATCAAAGAGGTCGCTAGTGGGTAAACATTTTATGTTGGAACGAATGATTTGACACATTTCGGCGTTCTACGATATTTGTTGTCAGTGAGCGACGGTGTAACATTCATCAAATTGCATTTGTTTCATATCATCACAGTTGAAAAACTTACAAATCCGAAAAATGGCAGCAATTTCGAGCTATGAACTATTGGAAGATGGAAAAGTATTTGCTGATTACGGACGATCAGGTTTTAATTTCGAGAATTGTCGACGGTATGAAATTCAATTTTAGAAAGTGTGATTTGTGCATTGTCATTTCAGGGAAAACTTAACCTCAATTCGCATACCGAATTTATGAATTTGTTTATATTTTAGCAATGAAATGTTAATCAAGAATGGTTTCAAAGAGCCAAAATCAATTAAAACGGGCACAACAATCGTGGGAATCATTTTCAAGGATGGTGTCGTTCTTGGTGCTGACACCCGAGCCACAGAAGGACCAATCGTAGCCGACAAGAATTGCGAGAAAATCCACTTTTTAGCCAAGAACATGTAGTAAGTATTTCATCGCATCCAAAATGCGCCGGACAATTGTCTAAATGCGTCTCAATCGTTTTTTAGCTGTTGCGGTGCTGGAACAGCAGCTGATACAGAAATGACGACAAATATGATTTCATCGCAATTGGAATTGCTTCGATTGAACACCGGTCGTGAAGTTCGTGTTACAACAGCCAATACACTGTTGAAACGGATGCTATTCCGTTATCAAGGCCACGTTAGTGCTGCTTTGGTATTGGGAGGTGTTGACATCAGTGGACCACACATCTATTCCATTCATCCACACGGATCAACAGACAGATTGCCATACACTACCATGGGTTCCGGCAGTTTGGCTGCTATGGCTGTTTTTGAAGGTGCGTAACTTGTACACATAAGTGTTGCAATTTGGTACGTCTTAATCTAAATAATTATATGCGACTTTTAACAGATCGTTGGCGACCGGATATGGAAGAAGAAGAAGCCAAAAAATTGGTTCGCGATGCAATCGCTTCGGGTGTATTCAATGATCTTGGTTCGGGCTCAAACATCGATTTGTGCGTTATCAAAAAAGGAACCGTCGAATATTTGCGTGGTTATGAATATGCCAATGAGAAAGGAGTTCGTGCTGTAAGTTTTTGGGGAATTCATTTATTGTCTGTATTTAACCATTTTCATGAAAATGATGTAACGAAAATATCTTCTTTTCAGTTAAACTATGACTTCAAGCTGGGTACAACAGCCGTTCTCGACACAAAAATCCATCAATTCGACATTGAAGAGACCGTTATTCCAATCGCATCCAGCAGCGCCACACCGATGGACACAGCTTGATTCAATATTTTCTTGGCATTTTAAATTTTCTATACTAAAACATAATAAAAAATAGGGCTATTAGCCTGCTAAATGGTATTAATTTCAGATGTTTATTTCATTGTAAAGAAAAATGTTAACTTCAATGAATCATTGAATCAAAAATTTCCATTAAGATAACGAATTTCCACAATTCGCATCAATTCCATTCAAACTTGACGGTTTTCCAGTATTGAAAATGGAAATCCAACAGTTCAATTTCTGTTTCACAAAAAATTGAAGAAGTGAACTCGTAAAATTTACAGTGAACATCTATTTTTAGTCGGAATCAATCAGGTTTAGCGGCAGACCAAACAATCGCTTCCAATATGGAATATTCCAATTGTTGTAGTACGAACGACCACTGGAAGCGTAAACATGGCGACAGCGGTAAGCTGTCAACATAACAAGTATTTTACCGATTCTCGTTTTTCCCTGTGTGACAACTAACTACAAGTTTCTTCTAAAAAAAGGAATCCCACTTGTATTCAAGCAAAAAATCATATCAATTTAACACATTTTTAATAAATAAACGTGAATAATTGCATAAATTTTAAAAATTCTCAGGCGAATGTTTACATTGAGTCATTAAACGTCATCAAATACATTGTTCATATCTATATCGCTTCCAAATCGCTTTTTTAGATTTTAAATAGAAATATGTCTGGCAATAACACATTAATAGCGAATTCTAAAATTGGGGAAAAATTCGGAAAGAGTTGCAAAGAACGTTACATTGAAATCGAAATAGTATGTGAAAGAGATTTTCAATCTCCTAAACAATTCATCGCTATGTTAACAGGTAAATGAAACTCTGTATATATTGCGATTCCAATGCAAAAGTATTTTCGCTTTTTAACAGATTGCCTGATTCATTGGCAAACGCAATCAATCAACCATATTCAGTTCAAAGTGCCAATAACAATGGAGAAAGGTGCGCACATTTTAACCATTCTGTATCAAAATGGGTTCGGGTTTTTAAAATTTGACGATGGTTGTTGCGTTGTTTTCAAAAACCTTGAAAATGATGCGGTCGTCCGAGTTGTTCAACAGCAGGTAGGATCAATATATATTTGTGTTCGGCCTTTTTGCAAATGATTTTTTGATATTTCAGTTCAACGAATTTCGAATTGGGAATTAAATAATATGAACATTCACAGGATGATAGTGGCGGCTCTAGTTCAATCAATGAATCGATGACACGATCTCCGCAGCCATCACACACATCAGAAGCAAATGATTCGGCTTTTGATGTCAATCAAGCAGGCCCTTCCAACCAGGCCTTTGGCTCTGTTTCAATCAATACACCGGTCGCACGATCTCCGCTCTTATCGCACTCGTCAGAATCAAATGATTCCGAAAATACAGGTATATTAACACAAGCATCACCGCATTTGCAAACACCCAGCCCAGGTGAACCATCAGAACCATCACCTATCTCATCATCAGACTTCCATTTGAATGAAAACAGTAACAGCCGTGAACCTGTTTTCAGTCACTCAGATGATTCCAATCAACAAGTTCCTCATATAGATTGATTAATTGAATACAATACAAGCTATAAACTTGCTGCAAACAACTAATTTCATTGTATGTTCATTACGTAAACCAAAAAGTAAAATTATTAAACGTTTATTTCGAATATATACATTGTCATTTAAAAGGCAGATTTAACACAATTAAATCTTCTTTTTTGGGAAAATCGTCTGTTACAATGATAA